GTGTAAGGGTGGAAGTATGATTTTCTCTTTCTTGACAAGAGGGGTGTATTTGATGTTATCCACACCAACGGTAAACTCGACTCTTTCCGGCCAATCCTTTCTGACGTAGTGGTCCTTACGAGCTCGGCTATCCCACTTGCAGAGGAAGCAGCAGTGCTTGGTGTACCTACTACCTACTATAATACAATTCGAGTATTAAAAGTACTATTTGATTTATTTAAAGAAAAAGTGTTATCATTGTTATGGTGTTATTCGTTTATCCGGATAATATCTCACTTGCACTTTATACCTTTAATATATGTATGTATGTATAGGTACATACATTGAAGTTGCGCAACCTGGGTATTTTTATTTGATCGCTTATAACTTACGCAGTTTTGCATCGATTTTCTTCGCTGATAGCTTATTTTTTTTGTAATACAACAGAGCTTAGGGAGAAAAAAAAAATCTGCAAAAAAATAAAAGGTTTTCGAGATCCTTCCCCGCAAAGTACAATTTTTTTTAATTTTTTACAAAAAAAATTAAAAAAATCGGTAATGATTGTTCGTTATCTTTGAATCTACAGGGCCTAGCAAAAAGTATTTGCTAGGCCCTGTAGTTGTATGCACAGTTTATAGAACATTTTATTACCTTTTCAAAGCTTCAAACCGTTTTGGAATTGCTTAATTCGTTCTTGAGATATATATGATTAAGTGGACCCAATTTTTTTTTTTTTTGCAAAAACGGTAAATTGCAAATATCTCAAAAACAGTACCATAGAATTAAAAATAACCTTGATTTTCGGAATCAGGGGGTGATTTTACATAAGAATTTCATAACGGCGTTTCTGGTAAAGAGAAAAAGTTGAAATTTGTGGTCCAGTGTAATTCGCTAAAAAGAGTATCTAACTACATATCTTGTACGCAAAGCTCCTTTACAATGTTAGTACATTGTAAAAAAAGGAATTGTAAGTTATAGGCCAAAGCCATTCGAATATTCAAATTTGTTGTTATTAAACTGAAACTTATTTTCGAGATACCTAGCAACACTCGACAAAAAAAGGCCAGCCTTCTCAACTATAATTACAGTACAATTTAAGAAAGTTCCAACGTTATGTAAAAATCTTAAGAAAATCCTAAAGTATTTTGTTTGAATTGAAAATTCAGTACAAATCAGTAAAAATTTTTAAAAATCAGGACATTAGAGTACTGATTGAAGAAATGAGTAAAATCAGTACAAGAGCTGAAAAATCAGTACTGTACTGACGTTTTGCTAAGATTTTTAGCATCTTCAGGTGATTTTTCGTTTATTTACCTGTGCAGCAATAAATATAAACCCTTAACGAAACAACAAAAAACTAATAAACGTATGAATACACGAAAAATAAATAATAAAGTTTAACACAAAAGAGTTGTTAACTTACGTTACATTTAAAATTAAACTTTGAAACATAAAACTAAAAATCGTTACCAACGCTTGTGGTAGCTTTGTCAGAACTGGGTATTATTAATATTTATAAACATAATAAATAAACTGCGGCGATGTCATTAGTATCCTCTTTCTTGTTCATTGCATTGTCCCTTCTCTGCATTATTCTCAAGCTTTCTAAGACCCATAACTAAATAAGCGCGTCAAGCGTTGGGCCTGTCGGCCTCTCTTCTTCTAGCGTATATAAATTTAATGCGTCAGAGAGAGATAAAGATACAAGCGAAACGGTCAACGCGCTGATTTAGGTACGGCTGTGATGTGAATCTTGTTTTTGCTCTTTTCTCTATATCAATTATTCTAGCGTTCGCCAAATCAGCTGTATGATCACTGGTGTTCATATGCTGCGCTAGTGCTGTGCTGTTTCTTTGTTTTTTTTTTTTTTATGTCAGCTTCGTGTTCGCTAAGACGAGTACCCAGGGCTCGCTTGGTTGTTCCGATCACAGTATACCAGTAGAAAAGGTTTTTGTTGTTGTGGCTGTTAATTTGGTCCCCATAAAGGACTTGAGGGTTGCGAGCAACTGTTTTGCCGCATTCAGGGTGCTGTGCAGCAAAATAATGTGGTGAAAAATTTTAACATCGGATAAATGGCGAGAGAAATATTGTTATGCGCTCTATAAGTAAACATGAACGTAATAAAATGTTTTATACTTCAATACAACTAATTAACGTTATTTTTGCAATTCGAAATGATCTTAAAAATATTTGTAGTGAAATATGTACTTTATGAGTTAAATGGAAACTATCTTATATGTAAAAATATATTCCGATTTACTTCAAATAAATGATGTAAAATGTTTTATACATGGATCTAATTTTAATAATAATATTTATTACTTTCATCTACATTGCTTTTATTGTAAGTTTTCAAGAGTAGTTGCAGTTTTCTACAATTGTCTCTGGCCGACTATACATGCTAAAGCTAAATAATTTCATAATTTCTACCCTATTAAACGTTTATATTTTAATAAAATGTGATCAATTGCTTAAGAATATATAATTTCCGATCAAACTATAGTACTGAATGCTTGAGAAACAATTATTTAAATCAAATGATCAATAGTGATCGCGCTCGGAGCAAATTTTGGAACACGGAGCGAATTATGCATATTAACACTAAATAATTTCTAACTTTCTACCATATTATACGTTTATATTTTAATTTAATATGATTAATTACTGAATAATATATAAACTGCGATCATACTTCACTACTGAATGCTTCACAAATAATATTTGAATCAAAAGATTAATAGTGAACGCGCTCGGAGCGAATTTTGGAACACGATATAAAATATGCATGTTAAGACTAAATAATTTCTCATAAGCTTATGTTTTAATATAATATAATTAATTACTAAAAAAATATATTAACTCCGATCAAACTATAGTATTAATTGTTAGACAAACTATTTAAATCAAGTGATCAACAGTGAACGCGCTCGGAGCGAATTTTGGAACACTTCATAAAATTTGTACAGAGGAAGTATATTATTTGGTAGAGATCAAAATGTATTTAACAAAGCGTGATTGAATTTGACCATGCTCTCAGAAGAACCATCCTATAAAATCAAATTGAAAATAATTTGTATGAATTTTGAATCGTTTGTTTATATTTTTCTACATAATAGTATCTTAAAAGAGAGCCGCACTGAGTTGTCAATAACACCTTGGGCCGTATGTATAAAAACTAAGCAATTACTTTTTCTCAGATTTTCATACCTTTCACTTAAATTTATTTGAAAAAATTTTGTGAAAGGTCTGAAATTTTAAGAAAAAGCATTTGCTTAGGTTTTATGCATACGGCCCCTTGTTAAATACACCCATGATACAAATATTTAAAGGTAAAACCGCTTGCCCAATTCGTCGGCCATCATTTACTTTTTGAAGTTTGTCTATTTTATAAAATTGAAATTTTGAGAGCAACTCAAATGCCAAATAAAAGTAAAACAAAAAACAAATAAATGAAAATACCCTGCAAACCAAAGTTCCCGAAATCTTAACGAAATCTTTTGGAGTATCTGATTTCTGTAGCGATTTTTTCCCGAATCTTCAAAGAAAATTATATGAAGTGGTTGACACGAACTCGTAAAGAAATTTCTGTACGAAAAATAAAGAAAATTCTGAAAAAAGTCTGCAAGAAATTCTTCACATAGCAGCATTATTTTCATTTCTTTACCGATTTTCTTCCGAAATTTCGGAAAAGAATGGAAGTGTGCGTAATTTATTTCATTTTAGAAAATTCGGATGGGATCTTTCCGAATTCTTTAAAATTTCTTTACGATTCAGAATACTCTGATAAAATGGTTTGCAGGGTATTGAAATTTTCATTTATTTGAGACTGAAAATGAGAATGTATTTGTGAGATTGGAAATTTGAAAACATTTTTGTAATGTTAGCAAACTTTAAAAATGTTCAGGCTGCCTCTCAGCGGTTTTACTTTCAGATTTTTGTATCATGAATACACCTTGGTCGAGATATCACGAACAAGTTTTCGTTTATTTATTTTTACTTAAAATCCTTAAATATGTATCTTGATTTTTTTCTGTAGAATAAGTATTCATTTTTTTAACGATTTTAAAACAAGGGAGGACAGTGGACAGAGGATCTACGTAACCAGATCGACCTGAATGCGCATTGAAGTCGGTTGTATTTTTTGCTTAAAATTACTTGTTATTATTGAGATAGTTTCGCTACTATTTAGAGATTTCTCGACATACTTTTTCATATTACTGTTATTTATTATTTTTCTTATTAGTCATTTATATGTTTAGAACTTACTGTGGGTGCTTTAAGATTCATTTTGTAAATATGTATGTACATATAAAAAACAATTGCGATATTTTATTTTAAATTATGAATTTTATTCGTGCTATTTTTTATGTGTAATAGTTTTGAGAACATTTTTTGGTCCTGTTGTATTCTTTTATTGCATGCCTTAAACTTTTTTACTTTAAGTTATAATGTTGAAGATATGCCTTTGTCAAGCACTTTAGCTAGGTGCGAGAAATTTAGCAAATGCGCGTAAGAGCATAGAGTAGGTATACGCGATTCTCCAACATCTTGTCAAAGGAGAAAACATATTGGTGGCGGAATCCATCGTAGTCCGATTTTTCTTAAAATCTACGAAAAAGCGATCACTGAATCTGAACTGCTATGAACGTGTGTATTCAAAGCAAGCGCTGCGTTCGTAGCTACTCGAACTTAATAGCATTTTCGTAGATTTCACGAAAAATCCGACTACGTTGAATTCTATGATAGCCTTGATTAGTTCGTGCGATTAAGACTTATGGATCGATTATGGATGGGAACGGAACCTCAGTTGGGTTGCCGATGGACAGCGCCACTGAAATTTAAAATGTTTTTAATTATGAATAGCAATAATTAAGTTTCATAAAGTTCAAGGTGGTACAATTTAAAAAAAAAAGTTGAAAAAAGAAATAAAGTATCTCAATCAAAATTTCACGGCAGCCACAAAAATACAGTTGCCAACATAGCAACTTAGTTGCCAGCTTTCAGTTGCTAGTTGCCATCTGCACGTTCTGCAGAACGATAAATATTTTGTAAATGTGTGCTCTGTCCGCTAACGAATTCCAGCCATGTGTGAAAGATCGTATGTGAAGCCTCCGTCTGACTTAACGATTGTCAAAGGCATGCCAGAAGATGTTTCATAATATGCTTTCGGCCATCGTCTTCTTCGAGTAAGTTCATCGATACCAAAAACTTTACAACCTCTATGTGCCAGTTGCAGTTGCATTCACACGTGATGTAATAGCTAGTGTCGGCAAGCTGTGGGAATGCCCAGAAGATGGCGTTTGTTCAGCTATCGAAATCATTACACCGACGGCGGTGGGCAGCTCTGCTGGAACATATTTACCACAGCAGTGGTTGCGCCGTTTTGTTCTGCAACAATAGCCTGCAATGATGACATGTCATATAATGTCGACGAACAAAGATATAAAATTTAAAATGACTAACCTTATTCCCGGCCGATTTGGGAGACCACCCTTGGTCACGACCAGAACGCATTTACCAAGAGGAAAAACCGCAGGGATTGCAGTAGTTCTTGCAGTCACCATGATGATGCTGTGCTTGTAATAATAGTCTGAAAAGACAGAAAATTGCATTAATGCAATTCTTGGTAACCACACAAGCGCCCAGAGCAATCTGATCCGCAAAATTATTTTGTGAAAAATAACAGTTGAAAAGAGTTTTTATACATGATTATTACATTAACTCATACGTGCAAATTATTGTGATTATTTTTAGTTGCATATAATTGTATTACCTTAGACTTTTTTAATGTTTTCTTATATTCATTATTTTGGGACGCAAAAGCAACCATGCGCTCAATTTCTTGTGAGGAAATTTGGTCCCCATAAAGGACTTTCACCACGAAACAGCTACAAAAACAAAAACCTTTTCTACTGGCATACTGTGGTTCCGATGTACACTTTGTCGCAATTTTCGGCTTCTTTACCATTGCACTTTATTGCATAAACCACATTGTTTTGTTGTTTGATTTCTATGGGGGTTTTTGTTTTTGTAAATATTGTGGATAAAGTGCAATTCGATTTGTATGCTAGCGTTATGTTTGGTTGTGTGGCAATGTGTTGATTTAAGTTCTCGGACAACTGCGGAATGTAAGTAAAGGCCGGTCCACATAGAACTTTCGCGGTGGCTTTGACGTTGGCGTTGGTTTGACAGAACTCACGTTTAAAGCATGCTTGCTACAATGAACGCTTGGCAGCGAATGCTTGGGCCACTAAATTAACATACTAACGACAGATAAATTAATATTTCATATCAATAATTGCATTAAAAACGATATTTCTTGTCCGCACTTGATTAAAATGGAAAAATATTTCACATAATTTTATTTATTTGCAACAGCTGACGAGCGACGCACGCGAAAAGTTGAGAGTTGGCCATCTTTTTGCTTTGTGTTGGCGTGAGCGTTGTCGAATTCATGTATTCATAGTCAGCTGTTGAAGCGACGCCAACGCCCACGCAATGCCAAAGTTCTATGTAGACGGGCCTAATCGCTGAAATATCGATTTGTGGTGTTTGTTGTTACTTTACTCGACGTTCTATTTTGGCGGCCATTTATTTCTGTAATTTTTTGTTTTATTAAGTCGCGTGTTAATTTTTCTGGGTAGCTATTACTTTTTAGAATCTTTTTGAGTTTTTCTATGTTTATGTCGTGAAATTTCTTGTCACTCAATGTAAGTACATTCAGTATTAAGTTTTTAGCCGTGTTGATTTCGTATTTCTTAGGTTGTGATGATAAGAAATTTATCAAACGACCCGAAGATGACGGTTTTGAGTACCGGTCCAGTGTGAGATTATTTCTTTCCCTGTGGATGCGAACGTCAAGAAAGGGGATGCTGGCTTTGTGTTTCATTTCCATGGTGAATTGGAGTTTGTGGTGGTATTTGTTGAGGGTTTTTAAGATTATATTCACGTCTTTGCGGTTAACTATGGTGAAAAAAATCGTCTACTGTTGGTATATTTGTAAACAGAGAGACGACATCAAACGAAACAAGAACATCTTCTTCACATACATTTATATGGGACAATTTATTTTTTAAATGGAACGAATTTTATTTTTTTTATATTGTAGTCTTCAGAGATGAGTGGCTTTAGAATTTCTCCAACATATTTAGACAAATTTGAACATGGGACTTTACAAGACGAGGCAATAGGACGTAGAGGGATTTCAGGTTTATGGATATTTGGCAACCCATAAAGTCTTGGAGCCGTTGCTGCAATACTGGTAAGCTGTTGCTTTTGTTTTGCGTTTATGTGTTTACATTTGAAAAGGTCATCCACTAAGTTGTTATTTTTCCTATGCAAAGTGTTTGTGTGATCTACTCGTATTGTTTTATACGTATTCTTTTCTCCTAGTAGGTTGTCTATTTTTCTAGATATTCTGTTCTATACATTGCTACTTTTATGTTCCCCTTATCTGCGTCTGTTATGATAATGTTGTTTGTGTATGCTTGGAGAAATGTTTTTGTTTTTTTTGTATGCTTCTAAAATGAACTTTTCAGCTGCGTTGTTTTTTATATTTCGTTTGAATTGTAAAATCCTATTGCTTAGTTTATTTCTTGCTAGTTCTTTATCTTTATCATTTCCTATCAATTGTATCACTTGCTCCATTTCTGCAATCGTGTGGACTGCCGAAAAGTTGGTTTTTGTTGTTTTCAGCGGGAATTTCTTTCTTAATGAGGGCAGCCACTTCACCTCCTGGGGAAAGACGATGCTGGTTTTGTTTACGAACCAGGTGTCGTTAGTTTTCGCATTCTTTCGTATTTCTTTTTCTCAATTTTGGAAGTGAGAGTTGATTCATTCTCCTTCGCGATCTTCTGACATAAAAGGTTTTGTTTTTGGTTAAACGTGTTGAACTCCGATTCACTTAGTGTGCGGTTTAGTTAGATTTCTGTGTAGTGCAAGTTATTTTTTGCTGCTCTAATATTCATGTTTGTTTGTGTTATTTCTATGTTCAGCATTTTCATTAGGAAGATTTGTTTAGTTTTCTCTATTTTCTGTTTTATATTGTGGCATGTGCTATTTATTGTTGTATTTTTAACTGAGTTTGTCAAATGTTTGGGGGTCAGCTCATATTTCTTGCATTCTAAAAAGATTTTTAATTGCTCGATCTGCTTAGCTAACTTCTGTTTTTGGTTGCTATAATACTTTAACCTTGTGCATGTGTGTTCTCCGTGTTTGTATTTCATATGTTTGTAGTAGTCCTTCATGTTCCCTGTTGTATATTTATTTATCGCTGTACACCGGACAATAAACAAACAAAACAAAAGTTCATTTTAGAAGCATACAGAAAAAACAAAAACATTCTCCAAGCATACACAAACAGACGCAGATAAGGGGAACATAACAGTAGCAATGTATAGAACAGAATGTCTAAAAAAAATAGACAACCAACTAGGAGACAAGAATACGTATAAAACAATACGAGTAGATCCCACAAACACTCTGCAAAGGAAGGTCTCTGTTTACAAATATACCAACAGTCACAGCCTCGAGAAGAATCATGAAAAAATGGGAAAAATAGAAAATATGACAATGATTCCTAAAAACAAGTTCCAAAATACTCTAGACTTTTGTCTCAAGGACAAAAATTACTTCGTGTGTAACAATAAATTCTATTCTCAAACCTTTGGAATGCGAATGGGCAACCCGCTTTCTCCCACTATTGCTGATATTGTCATGGACGATTTACTTGACAATACCATTTTGGAGCTAAAACATTTAAACATCGATATTAAATTTATAAAAAAATATGTAGACGATATATTTGCAATAGTTAACCGCAAAGGCGTGAATATAATTTTAAAAACCCTCAACAAATACCACCGCAAACTCCAATTCACCATGGAAATGGAACATAAAGCCAGCATCCCCTTTCTTGACGTTCGCATCCACAGGGAAAGAAATAATCTCACACTGGAATGGTACTCAAAACCGTCATCTTCGGGTCGTTTGATAAATTTATTATCATCACAACCTAAAAAATACAAAATCAACACGGCTAAAAACTTAATACTGAATGTACTTACATTGAGTGACAAGAAATTTCACGACATAAACATAGAAAAACTCAAAAAGATTCTAAAAAGTAATAGCTACCCAGAAAAATTAACACGCGACCTAATAAAACAAAAAATTACAGAAATAAATGGCCGCCAAAATAGAACGTCGAGTAAAGTAACAACAAACACCACAAATCGATATTTCAGCGATAAGGCCCGTCCACTTCAACAGCTGACTGTGAAAGCATGAACTCAAATGCAGCCGTCCACATAGCCAAAATTCGGTAACGCTCACGCCAACACAAAGCAAAAAGATGGCCAACTCTCAACATTTCGCGTGCGTCGCTCGTCAACTGTTGCAAATAAATAAAATTATGTGAAATATTTTTCCATTTTAATCAAGTGCGGGCAAGAAATATCATTTTTAATGCCATTATTGATATGAAATATTAATTTATCTATCGTTAGTATGTTAATTTAGTGGTCCAAGCATTCGCTGCCAAGCGTTCATTGTAACAAGCATACTTTAATTGTGCGTTCTGTCAAACCAACGCCAACGCCAAAGCCAACGCGAAAGTTCTATGTGGACCGGCCTTTACTTACATTCCGCAGTTGTCCGAGAACTTAAGTCAACACATTGCCACACAACCAAACATAACGCTAGCATACAAATCTAATTGCACTTTATCCACAATATTTACAAAAACAAAAACCCCCATAGAAATCAAACAACAAAACAATGTGGTTTATGAAATAAAGTGCAAGGGTAAAGAAGCCGAAAATTGCGACAAAGTGTACATCGGAACAACAAGGCGAGCCCTCCCCTGCAAAAATCGTTGGACCATGTAGTCTATTTGTGGTAAATTGGAGTACTTACAAAAGTGTTCCTCTGTCATTCTGTAGCGGACCAACTCGTGTCTCTGCGCCAGCTTATTGTTTGTTATCCGATCACTGCTCGTGTTTTAACGAAACGTGATTGAAGTTGAGCATTTGAAAGCACATTTGCATGTCTGGCTGTAGCTGAACGTGTAGAGATGCTCGCTGTTAGTTCTTAGCTCCCAGCATATGGGTACTCGTCTTTGCGAACACGAAGCTGACATAAAAAAAAAAAACAACAAAATGAACACCAGTGGCCATACAGCTGATTTGGCGAACGCTAGAATAATTGATATAGAGAAAAGAGCAAAAACAAGATTCACATTAGAAAGCTTGAGAATAATGCAGAAAAGGGACAATGCAATGATCAAGAAAGAGGATACTGATAACATCGCCGCAGTTTATTTATTATGTTTATAAATATTAGTAATATTCAGTTGAGACAAAGCTACCAGAAGCGTTGGTAACGATTTTTAGTTTTATGTTTCAAAGTTTAATTTCAAATGTAACGTAAGTTAACAACTCTTTTGTATTAAACTTTGCTATTTATTTTTTGTGTATTCATACGTTTATTAGTTTTTTGTTGTTTTGTTAATGGTTTATATTTATTGCTGCACAGGTAAATAAACGAAAAAATACCCTGAAGATGCTAAAAATCTCAGCG